ATGAGAAAAGAATGTGTTCCTAAGAAAATAATAAGAGTAAACACATTATAGTACTGTACTGGAAAAAAAAAATCCACATATAAGTGGACCCTCCCATTTCAAATCAGTGTTGTTCAAGGGTCAGCTGTAATTTGGAATTCTATTTGTCTAACTCAACCTTCACATTCTTAAGTCACGGACATTAAACATGCTCAGAAATCTGGCGAGGAGAGGGAGGGGACAATGAATCCAAGTGAAAAGATCCTGTAAACCAAATGAATGTTGGTGAACTTTCAACTGACTAAACACACATACACCAATACAAGAATTCTGAACCATTAGAGGACAAAGGGGAATGAATGCTACCTATTCCTCTCCACCCTTTCTGCCTCCACAATAGTAAGGAATCCAAAATATTTCTTCTATACCCCTCTCTGTTCAGACTAGGAATGCTCCAGACTGCACTGAATTAAAAATAAGCCAGAGAAATGCTTTCTCCTTTTTTAAATTTTTAATTTTAAAAAATTTTTCCATCCAAGGAGCATAGGTTTTTTTATATTCTTGGATACAAAGAACCCAGAGTATTTCATTTACTATTTTACTATAAAGGGGTGACACTTTTGGAAAGTAGCATCTATAAATATTTGTCTTTGGATTATTTTATATTTCTTAGAGTCCATTTTGAAATTTTAGTATAAAAGTTTCCAAGTGTCCATTAATATGACATTTTACATATTATGTTCAGTAATTTGAAAAGCCTGCCATGTACATGTACTTTTGTCCTTAATAAAGCTGTAATACACAGATTAAGACACCGAGGTTTTTTGCTTTGAACTAGAATTTAATTAACTTAATGCTCTAATACTATGCCATGCTGATCAGGAAATGTCATCAATTAGCTAATAGAGACATAATAAATGCAAGTTTGTGACAACCTCAAAACATGAGTATGTTGGAGAAAAATGATGAACTCTTTGGAAAAGATTTATGAACTATACCTTCAAGATGCAACACATCAAAGTACTATCATCATTTAAAATCACAGTATTAGGTATGTTGAGTTATTGTCAAGATACGACTGAAGGAATAAGACAGGACAGGTAATTGCTGAGAAGGAGAATGGTCAGGGACAGGGGAGGTAGGGTAAGCATTGTATATTAGTCCAGATACTTAAGTTGTAAGCAACAAAGGAAAATTATATTGTAGTTTACCAAGTGAACAGGAAGCTTGGAGAGTAAGACCCAGATCTGTGCATACTGGTCATGGGAGAAGCAATACTATTTATTAGTCACTGGTTCATAACATACTCTGCAAACCACAGGACAGCACCCCAACCTTCAAAAGGGTTTTATCTTGGCTGGTGCCATAACAGAGTGTTTAATGTGTCCTTCTGCCATCCTATAGGTTTAACTTCTGGCTGTTGAGGTAGACAAAAAGACCAGTAAATCACATAGAAATTGCTGTATTGACTTACTTGACTACAGTAAAGTGAATCATTTAATAAGATACACTGAATGTAACGTCTTGGTGTGTAATGTCTTGATGATACTATCCACTAATCGATGGTCCTGCCAGGAGCCTGATGTGCAGGAAAAGCAAACATAATCCACTGTCTATTAAAATGAAGATTTTTACTGCTTCAAAAGTGGTCCGATCACTCTTTCACGAGATGGCTGCTTATAGTCCCCATTTTGGAGCCTTACAGTTGGTTGTTCGTACTGCTGTTGGCAAACTGGACACTTACCCAGGGAAACCATGTTAAGTGGAGGAATATGGTATTGAACCCATAAATGGCTTCCCTCCCTGTTCTCAGAGCCATTTTATTCCTGAGTTCATTGAGCAAGGCTTGAGGTGGCTCATGAGAAAGACTTTCAAACATCCTCAGGATACCTGATTAGTATTGTTCACCTAATGATAAAATGCTTCCTCTGAAGAAAATGGAAGAGACCATGGCTTGGCTGACAAATTATCTCCAAGGAAAAGTAAGATACCCCAGTTAAAAAATAATTGATGGGGAAAAGAGGAAACTTAACTGGGCTCAGTAAGCATGAAAACATTAGGATTCAGAGAATTTCAAGTTAGTGTTCATATTTAACCAATTTTGGGGTACCTGGGTGGCTCAGTTGGTTGAGTGTTGACTCTCGAATTCAGGTCTGGTTATGATTTCATGGTTCGTGGGATCGAGCCCCGCATCAGACTCTGCTGACAGCACGGAGCCTGCTTGGGATTCTCTCTATCTACCTCTCTCTGCTCCTCCTTCTCCTCTCTCAAAATAAATAAACTCAAAAAAAGTCTGTAAATTATTGCAGCTTTTTTGAGGAAGAATGGAGTTTTGAAAAAATTTCACTAGCTACATAAAATTAAACGTGACTTTAACTTACAAATGCGTCTTCTAAAGTGGGAACCTGGTCTGGACTCACTTGTGTCCCCTCCCTCTCCCATTCATATGTTGAACCCCTTACTCCCAATGTGACTCAATGGGGAGGTAGAGTTTAGGAGGTAGTTAAGGTTAAATGAGGTCATAAGGGTGAGGTCCTAATCTGTTAGGGCTGTGGCCTTGTAGGAAGAGGAAGGTTCCACCCCCAATCCCCGTGTGAGGACACAGCAAGAAGGCTGCCACCTGCAAACCAGAAAGAGATCTCACCAGAAACCAAATTGGCCAGTACCTTGATCTTAAACTTCCCAGGCTCCAGAATTGTGAGAAATAAATATGTTATTTAAGCCACCCAGCTTATGGCATTTTGTTATGACAGCCCAAACTAACAGAGGGCCTTTTGACAGCATTTATATAAAACATTAATACTCCCCCAAATTTTGGCCTATTCTGCCAGGTCTATTCACATACCCCTAAACTTCCTTGCACTAACCCTGTCAATTTACTCTGGGACTTGGAATCCAGCCAAATCCTTAACCAGTTTCAAAGTACTTCTCTTTACTTGGGGCACAGTAACCCTGTAGAAGGCTGGAAGAGTCATAGTATGTATTTGTAATGTTGTAAAGTGTACTTCCTCAAAGATACCCAGTCTCCTCACTAGAAGGAATTTGTGAATTGATTGCTGGGGTGGCCTAGGCTTTGTTGGGCCTACACTGCAGGAGGGAGAGGAAGAGGGGAAAAGTGAGAAGAGAAGGGACCAGGAAGGGGAGAAGAAGGGGGGTAGAAAGGAGGGAAGGGAGGGAGACCTCTAAATACACTGTAAAGACCATAGCTGTGTACCCCCATGACCCATATATGACCCATATAAGGAGATATGACAAATTTCAGGCAATTTGAGCAGCCAAATCAATAATGATGGTGTTATGGTCTGAATTGTGTTCCCTCATTCATATATTGGATTCCTAAACTTTGTAATATGGCTCTTTTGGAGACAGGCCCTTTAAAGAAGTAATTAAGGTAACATGAGGTCATATGGGTGGGCCCTACTCCAATATGACTGGTGTCCTTATAAGAAGGGGAGATTATGAGTTGCCTGGGTGGCTCAGTCCATTAAGCATCTGACTTAGGCTCAGGTCACAATCTCCAGGGCACTGTACTGATAGCTCAGAGCCTGGAGCTTACTTCTGATTCTGTCTCCCTCTCTCTCTGCCCCTCCCCTTGCCCATGCTCTGTCTTTCAAAAATAAATAAATATTTTTAAAAAAAGAAAGAAAAAAAAGAAAATGAGATTAGGCCACAGACATGGTGGGAAGACCATGTGAAGATATATGAGGAACACAACTAGCTCCCAACCAAGGAGAGGTCTTCAGAAACCAACCCTGCTGACATCTTGTTCTCTGATTTCTGGGCTTAGAACCCTGAGGAAGTTTTTGTTGTTTAAGTCAACCAATCTGTGTTACTTTGTTATGGTAGCCAAAACCAACTAACACATGAACTGCTGAATACTGTAAGTCATGAATATTTACTGCTATAAATAATAGTAAATAGAGGACAATAGAAAGTGCTCCCTTACTGTAGAATGCCAACTAATAAATGTAGAAGGAATAGTGTAATTAGAAAATCACCATTTGACAGCCATCATAGTAATAATTGATCCCAGCAAGAATATTAATGTATGCTAATAGTAGCAGATGAAAGTTTGATGAGATACAGGATATTAGTCTAAAAGTCTTTCTGCATAATTATGAAGAGTGAAATAGTAACTTTTTGACGGCAACCCTGGCAAAACCACCTTAACTAACTAATCAAAGTTAACACCACCAGTAAGGGGAAAGACATCATGTGCTCTCCACAGGCATACACAGACAACATAATATCTTGTATTCCTGCCCAAGCAGCATTGCCTGAAAACAGTCATAAGGAAACATCAGACAAACCCAAATTGAAAAATATTCTACAAAATAAATGGCCTGTCCTCTTAAAAAAAAAAGTCAAGGTCATGAAAGACAAAGACCGAGGGAACTACTTAAGATTAAAGCGCATTAAAGAGTCATGACAACTCAATGTAATATGTCGTCCTGGATTGGACAATTGGCCGACGTTGAATACGAGGTGGATTAAATAGTATATCAACAGCAAACTTCCCTGTGGTAACAGAACTACCGTTCTGCAAGAACATGACTGTCAACCAAAGCGAGTCTACCAATCAATAGCCGCGGGCCAGAATCGCCTCCTCCCACCTCCCCAGCTATTTAGTAATGATTCAGACTAGCCCTCCCAGTCCTTCGCTCTCTCAGTCTCCGGGACATCAGTCCTGTTTCTGAGGCCTTTTTCCTCTTCTCCTTTACCCCACTCTCCACCTTCTGCCCACGAGGCTCCCTGTTCCTGTCTTCTCTTCCCCTCCCCAGCGCCCCCCCCCTCCCCGGCCCCTTCCACCTCGGGGAGGCAACCATTCCTCCGCAGGTGCGCCCCGCACTCGGGCGCCCCGCTGCGCGCTTGCGCTCTGCACCCGCCAGAGCCCGGCCCGCAGTCGGAGGAGCTTCGGCGCTGCCCGGGTGGTTTGCGCGGGATCCGAGCTCCGGGTCGACGCTCGCGCCACGCTGGGACAGGTGGCTGCGCTCAGCCACAAGGCCGCCCTTCTGCCCGCGATGGGCTGCTCCAGCAGCGCCCTCAACAAGGCCGGCGACGGCAGCAGGCTCCGCAGCGGTGAGCAGGGGACCCGGCCTCACCCTCGCCCGGGCCTCGGGGTCGGCTTGCTCCCCAGGGGTCCGAAAGTGCGACCTGCCCGGCAGGGGGCGGGCTGCTCGCTGAGGACGCGAGTGGAACCCTGAGCGAAGCGCCACTCCCTCCCGGATCCCGGAGCGCGACTGCTGGAGCTGCGGTGTGGAGGTCCCGGTGCGCCCCAGCCGCGCGCGCTGCGGGACGCGGGAGGCCAAGCGCGGGACCCGGGGTTATCTGCCGCGCGATCGGGGAGGTGGCGTTTAATCCCTACCGCGCTTGGCCGGGGGTCCCCTTAAACAGATGAGTAATTTCCCGCCCTTACAAAAGGCGCTATTTAGAAGTACGAACTTTCAGATTATATAAAGCTGCAAATTCCCTGCGAACCATTAGTTTCTGGTCGTAAGGAGAGATGTGATTCCCGTTTTCCCACCAAGACCTTGCCCTCCCGTCAGCATTTCAGCATCAGAGATGGTAAAGGATGCGGAGAGCACAGATGCACGTTCACTCCATCAAGTAGGATCCTGCACTTTTGAAGAGGTCAGATACACTTTCCCCTATCCTTCGCTTCAGTGGTTCTTGACGAATATGCGTGCGATAAAAACTGGTCATCACCGAAATTCAGCAAACGTATTTTGAGCGTCTATTATGTGATCGCCAGGTACCTGGCAAGTAAGCCTGCTTCTGGGGGGTCAGGGATCGAAGAGATGGGTAATAAACAAGTTAAACAAATGATTAAGGTACGTTTCTGACAGTGGTAAATCCTGTGAAAAGAGTAAGAGCAGATTCATGAACTAGAGTATGGGTTTTATAAGCACTCCTTAGATTTTGAATGGCTGACATTTTGGATAAAGTTTCAAAGGTTAAGTAAATTCCTTCAAATTAGTTTGCAGTCATAATCAAGGCTAACTCTAGGGGAAATTTGCACTCGGGTTAACTCCTTTTCGCAGGTCTTTTAGTGTCTTTTGTTACTCCAATAAAACAGAAACGTTTTCCTCTCTGATTTTGTAGTAGAGAGCACAGGATTTTCGCGAATGCGGTTTCAAAGTTCAGACACCGTGTCCCAGTTAGAAGTATGCTGTGTTGAATTCATTTTCGTGGTGTGTGATAATTTATTCTTAATTTTAGTAGATAATAGAAAGCTATAAAAGTTTAGAAATAGGCAAAGTAATTAAAGCCATATATGAGTGTGATTCCAAACCCTTTGTCTGTGACAACAATGTGAAGTGATGGAAATATCCATTTCCTAGGGTACAATACTTGCTGACCTTTCTCCTAAAGAAAAGAAAACCTCTGTACTCCAAATATGCTCTCAAGAGGCCAGTGCAAAAAGTTAATTAATTAATTAAAGGCCAGTACAAGGAGCAATTTCTTCAGTGTTTTATTTTATGAAATCAGGTAGACTTTGCATTCCATGATAAATGTTGGTTTCAATATGAAAAGTTGAGGAAAATTGATGCTTCAGGAAGATACACCATATTTGGTTTCTCTTATCCCCTTCCATGGTCCCAGATATCCTTGGAGCAACATACTGATTTAAAAAGCAGAGAACTAAATCATCATTATAGATTTTTTTTTTTTTTTATAAAAACATGACTATGAGAAATGTTACTCTTAGGGAAAGCCAAAAGTATCCAACAGGGGGAACGGGTTTGTAATCCTCTCGAAAAATAATGAACAACGTTTAAAAGAAAAAACACTTTATCACCAGTATTAATAACTGTCAACATAAGTCATTCCTTTTCATTTTTTATTCATGCTTTCATCATTGTTCTAAGTTTTCACAGATGTTGTTCTGAAAGAAATATTAAAACTCCTGACAACCAAATTTAGTGCATTGAAAATGAATTAATACCCTGCATAAACTGCTCAATGCCCATATTAAATCAATCAACAGGTGTATTTTGCTTCTGTTGCCTAAACACACAATACTCTCTTGTAATTGGATACTATTGTGTGTTCATCAGCATTTCAACTCTATGATCTTGGAGGCTCAATAAATAATTCATTCCTGTTTCTGCAAGTCAAAACTTCTTTAAATCCTATATATAATCCTAAATCTGTGTGTATGAGCTTTTAGATTAAAAAATCCAAGTTTATTAAATGTCCTGTATATGCATTTACTCACTGTACCCCTGGTGTCTAACAATACTTGGCACATAGTTGTTGAATGAATTACTTCATTTAATCCTTATGACAGTACTATGACTAAGGATTATCTCCATTTCACAGATAAGGAGCCCTGTGACCTTGGGCAAGTTATTTACTCTTAAAAGTCAGACCCGAGATTTGAATTCAGGTACTTTGATTCTAGAGCTTGACTTATTTCTCCTTAAACCTTAAGGAGAAATAAGTCAAGCCCTTTAAGCTTGACTTAAACCACCTTGTGATAACTAGATTTACATCTGGTTTATTTTACTTAAAAAAATTTTTTTTAATGTTTATTTATTTTTGAGAGAGAGAGAGAGACAGAGTGTGAGCAGGGTAGGGGCAGAGAGAGAGGGAGACACAGAATCCAAAGCAGGCTTCAGGCTCTGAGCTGTCAGCACAAAGCTCAATGTGGGGCTCGAACTCATGAACTTCGAGATCATGACCTGAGCCGAAGTTAATGCTCAACCAATTGAACCACCCAGGTGCCCCTAACCTTAGAGATTTTTTTAAAAATGTCTATTTATTTTGAGAGAGAGAGCAGAGAAAGGACAGAGAGATAGGGAGGGAGAGAGAATCCCAAGCAGGCTCCATGCTGTCAGCACAGAGCCCAATGTGAGGCTCGAACCCATGAACTGTGAGATCATGACCTGAGCTGAAACCGAGGATTGGATGCTCAATGGACTGAGCCACCCAGGTGCCCCTAACCTTAGATGTACATAGATGTAGAGAAGCTACCAGTGCCCTCCCATAGAGATACAGATGATCTTCATATCATACCAGAGATTCTTTAAATTCACAATATCAACCTTAAATTTTTAAAAAAATGTTTATTTACTTTTATGGGGGTGCATGGGAGGAAGGAGCAGAGAGAGAGGGGGACAGAGGATCCAAAGCAGGCCCGCATTGACAGCAAATAGCCAGATGTGGGGCTTGAACTCATGAACCAGGAGATCATGACCCATACCGAAGTTGGACGCTTAACCAACCGAGTCACCCAGGTAACCCCTCATGATATCAAACCTTAAAACCTTACCGGTTGATGTTAAAATATGTGAAGTAGCCTGTAGACTGGATTTGTGTTGACAGTTCTGCCCAACTAAATTTTCTGTAACTGGCTTAAGCGCTGTTATACGTGATGCAATATTAGCCTACAAGCAAAAGAATCATTAAATAATGGGTTGGACTATATTACCTCTGAGATCTCTTATAGCTCTAAAATCCTATAGCATTACAATATGAAGCTGTTTATTTTCTGGGCTTGAATTTAAATCAGATAGCAGCTACTTGCTTAGGTTGCTGTTAGGCTGAATAGGAAAATCCATTCTACTGATCACACAGATATGTTTGCTCTGACCTGTCAGACACCAGATGACTGACTGGGGAAAGAGGTGTGGGGGGACCAGGACGCAGGTGGATAGTTAGATAACTATCCAGTGCTACTCAAAGTAGCACATAGATTTTTACTGAACACCTTAAAATGTGCGAGGAAAGAGTCTTGTCTTTCCAGAAGGACTATTAAACAGATTGAGTGGAATTTCTTATGTGTGTGGAAGCAAATTCTAAATATTAGGGCAATATTCTGTTCAAAATTTCTGTTCTTTTCAAAGCCCCGAGGATCTGATGGAGTCTGAATCCGAAGGTTTTTTGTTGACTTTACAGATGTTAATGGACCCACAGGTGTCTAGGTCTCTTATGCAAACCTTCGTCCCTCTGCTGCCAGCCTTCTTTGTACATGCATAATTATTGCTTTTCTCTTTCCTAATATAAAAGCCATCTGTTTCCGGAAGACTTCTTCCTGAGATCTTAGAGCTTAAGGACCGGCATTGATAAAGTAAATAGATGGTCATTATTGACAAATTCAGTGCTAAGTTAATGTGTACGTTTCCACTGACAGCTATAATCATTTGTTTATTCTAACCTGAACGGTTGCTAGCTGCTTGGGGTCCATGTTACCTAGGCAACCTAGACAATAGGATGAGACTTGAATTTCATGCTGTTATGTGAATTGTTCTTTGTCCTGTGGAGATACCTTCGGCCTTCAACCAATATTTTCAGACAGCGATATTTTAGTCCTAAGTAGGCAAACATTTTTTCCTTTGTAATTAAAGAATAAACATCATCAGGATTAAAACTTATTTTAATAGGCTTTCCTCACATGCAGATGTTATATAAATGGGGTTTCTTTCTTGAAAATGCTAGAAGTAGGGACCAAGTCTCGTATGAGTTTGTGTCCCCCCTCTAGAGCCTGGCACACGGGGGACGTTTGGCAAGTTTTTGTGGTAGGGCATTTATTACATACAGCTGATTAAAATGGAATATAAGAATTGCATACATGGGGGTGTGTGGGTGGCTCAAATGGTTGGGCTTGCGGCTCTAGATTTTGGCTCAGGTTTGGATCTCACAGTTCGTGAGTTCAAGCCCTGTGTCAGGCTCTGCACTGACAGTGCGGAGCCTTCTTGGGATTCTCTGTCTCTGTCTCTCTCTCTCTGCTCTCTTTCTCTCTGTCTCAAAAATAAATACATTTAAAAAAAGAGGGAATTGCATACGTGGTTCAGAAATTTGCAAACAGTTGAAAAATGCATCCTGTGAAAGTATACCTCCTGCCCTATTTGCACCAGATACTTAATTCTAATCACATCCATGGGTAAATACTTTCATTAGGTGAGGTGTTTTTTTTTTTTTAATATTCTTCCAAGGTTTATACAATGTAAATATTGTTTCCCTCTCCCATCTTCATTATAAAATGTATTATACCTACTATTCTCCACCTTGTTCTTTTCATCTAAGAAGAACAAGATTTCTATCTTGATATATAGAGAATATCTTTCTCCTCTTTT